AAGCTTCCAGCCTCCACAATAGCTTGAGCCAATTCCTTCAAGTCAATCAACTCTAGATAGATAGATAGATGACAGATAGAGAGATAGAGAGATAGATAGATGTGTATGTATGCATATATACATGTGTGTATATACATGTATGTCTGTGTATATGTATGTGTGTATGAATTGGGGTGTTACAAGGGGAAATAGAAACACCTTTCAGAAAAGGGAGAAGGACAACATGGTCTCTTCATCCCAATTAATGACTGACTAGAAAATCGGTTATTTTTGACAGACATACCTTTGCCACATCCTTAGACACTCTTTCTACTGCAGACTCTTACAAGCTACTGGGCATTCCTTCTGAGACTCTAAGAGCACAAACCCAAAAATAGAAGTACTGGGTGGGTATGAGGTTCCTTTCTAAGGAACCGCACAAATGGCTTAGAAGATGGAAACCACGTGCATCGAAGTGAGTGCCCAGAACAGCAGCATGAACCATGCTCCCTGCCATGGCATTAGCATTCTTGCTGCGGCAGCAGCCCAGCCAGACACAGCCCTTCCCAGACCCCTTTGCATCTAGGTGGGGCCATATGACCAGTCCTCACCAATGCATCATGAGCAGAGTGTGTGGGTCACTTCTGGAAGAAAGGGGAGTAACAATAATTATCATCCTCTTCCTTCTACGTAGTATGTAACATCACTTCTCCAAACGTTGTTCCTTCTCAGAGAATGCTGTTCCCATCTACGTTAACTTGCTATCACTCTGAAATCATGCCTCAGAGGATTTGGATAGAATCTGGCAACAGGTGTTGATTAAACACCAACTGTACTTGGACAACACACACTAAAACAAGTTTTAAATTGCAGATCATCTTCTCTGTGTGGTCAGACTACATACACAAGACAGAACAGCAAACTCCCTCATGAGAGCAAACAGTGGAATGCTAGACCTTGGCTACTACTCATCATTAGTAACAGGAGTTTAGGAAACTGAAAGGGCAAGGGTGATTAGATTTAAGTGACAGGAGAAGAGCTGGCTCTCACAATAAATGCAACATCTGGGCTGGTGAGGATAAGGGGAGTGGCATTTCCAGAAGAGGAAATCGGATGAGCAGAGGATCAGAAAGTGGTCAGGTGGGGGCACATCGGAGACAAGCGTGATTGTGATGAGGAGCGAGAGGGAGAGGGTGCTGGACAGAGATGAAAAGGCCACGTTTCAGCGGAAGGTGAAGAGGTGAGATGTATTAACACTCACGTTGGATCCCAGAGAGGGCAGGGTGGGTGGGCACAGTGGACGCACTGCATTAGCTCAAGCAGTGATGGTGAACAGCTTCCACTGCACTCCCTGCCCCCAACCCGGTCCTCTTCATTGGTGGGACCTATTTAGACAGGCAAGTGCTGAGACCAAATCTGAATTTAAGAAAAAAAAAGTCACCTTGATTGAATTGAGACGGCTACTGCTGGTAGAGAATCAGAGAGTGCTAGCACATTTGCAACATATTGGCTGACCCTGAAGGCCATTAATTCAAAAATGACATCCTCCAAGGCTGTGGTTCCAAGGGGCCAAGCACTGGGATATTTAAAACTCCCCCAGATGACTCGATGTGGAGCCAAGATTAAGAACTAGGGCTCTACATGGGAGAGAGGGTAGAATGGCTTATAAGGAAACCAGTGGGAAGAGCAGCTCCCTTCTGCCCGGTTGCTGAGAAGGTTAAACCAGAGCTGCTGGCAGCCTCTTGCCAGCATGAGATCACCTGCCTGAGAATGGAGCCAACACACAGCCGGGCACAGACCTGGGCATCAGTGCAAGGAGCCCCATGTGTGCGTGTGTGCACCTCTTCCTGCTCTGCACTCGTGACACAGCGACGAGCCTGCAATCAGCACAGTGGGTGCATGCACACCATGGGAATCAGCAAGCACTCTTTCCTCCCCAGAGGGCTGGGCATTAAACCTTTACCAGCACTAGCAGCCAATACATGAGGGGGAGGGGGAAGGGAAGAGGAGGGGGAGGGCGAGGGCGAGGGCAAGGGCGAGGGCTAACGAACTAAGAAATGCAGGAGAAATACAATCCTGATATTGTTTGAACACCTGGATCAAGCCGTCCCTGCAGATGGGAACTCCTAACTTCTGTTTTGTTTAAGCTGAGTTAAAGTGAATCTTATGACTCTTGTCACCAAAGAATAGTGAAACCGTGGGAGAATCAAGTCATGTGCTAAGTGTAGCCGCAAGGATCCGAAGAATCTGGTTGGAGGCACAGCAGAAAGCAGTAGTTAGAGGGGCACGGCACACCACTGGGTGGCACTGCTGAGATCTCATAGCTGCCATGGACCTTCAGTCACCTGGCCAGGTCCTACAACAGCTGCTCTTAGGTTTCCACTCCTCATGTTATAAATATTAATGGAGTGCCAAGGGGTCAAGCATTGCTCAAGGTGCTTTGAACACAGCAGGGAACACAGACGAGGCCCCTGCTCTTATGGACTGTCCAGTGCAGGGTGGGACAGACAGCAAAGAAGGAAGGGAATCCACAACCAGGAGCCTTTGAGGTGCTGACAAGTGCTGTGATGACGATAAAGGAAGTGATGGAATAAAGAATGAAGGAGAAGGCACAGGGTGAGCCAGGGGGGTTAGAGGAGGTGGCATCTGAAAGAGACCTGCTGGCCTAGGCAGGCTCAGCCACGCAGAGACAGGGAGGAGCAGTCCAGCAGAGGGACAGTCGCTGCAAAGGCCCTGAGGGAAGACTCAGCCTGAAGGCCAGTATGGCTGGGGTGAGACAGCAAGGGGAGGGTGGAGGGAGATGGGGCCAGAGCATGGGGAAGCCCCAGATCACACCAAGCCTGAGGCCACCACCAAAGAGTGCGCACGGGGTTCTAAGCAGCAGTGTGATGGGATGGGATTCATCATTCCATGAGGCTGGTGTTTAGCCCTCTAGAGCCAGACACAAACACGCAGTCATGAGCTAGCTTTCCTTACGACTCAAGAAGCTGGCCTCAAACAAAGATGTCCTTGCCTTTGTGCCCACTGGGGGCAAGAACATGAGGCTGATCAAGAAGAGACAGCCCAAGGCCTACATAATTGAGGCTGAAACAATGTCCCCCTAGAACCTTCTCACCCATGACCAACCATCTCCTTGACTGTCGAGCCCTCTTTTCTGGAGCCCAGGGAACCAAGACCCCGAAGTGAGAGGATGAAGTACATGCAGTGTGGAACGGGGTCAGAGAGCAAGCCATATGCATGCAGAGATGCAACACGTGAGCGAGGTTTATGACTTCGTGTTTTATTACCACTTTTGTTTCTTAGAGCAAACTTTTAAAGAATTGCTCCCTAGCCTCCCTCATCCATCAAGTTCCTCCCAATAAATCTCCTGATTACTCTGATCGCCACTCACAACAGACCATTTCATCTCCCCCTGTCCCTGAGCCTACAGCAGATTAATTAAAGGGGACGCCAACAAGAGCTTGCAGCCTTAAATCCATCACTACGGACGGGCCTGTGGTGGCCGAGACAGATGACAGTGGAGTGAACCTAGTAAGAGGGAGGGTGAGAGGAAGAGCCTCACACACAGCAGCAGACACTGCGTATCTGGAAAGGCAAACTCCAGAGAAACAACTCCCTCCCCGAGGACAGGATGGACGCCGTATCCAGTAAGGGGCTAACCGATGGCCAGGACCGTATGAGCTTTCAAAACTCAAGTCAAGCTGGAAAAGAGGGGCGGGGATTGGTGCAGTTGTTATAATCAACAAGAAGTTCAGAGTTGGCCTATCACATCAGGTACGGCTGAATTCAAGGGCTCAAAGGGCCTGACCAGACTCGGTTCCTCTCTGCCTCTCAGCTCAGCTCCTCTCTCTATGTGATGGCCTCATCCCCAGCCTCCCAGGCCCAACAGAGAGGAAGAACCCTTTCTGTGGCCTCCCGGCGCCTGAGACCCAGCGAGAGCACCAGCTAAGTCAAGTGCAGGGCAGAGGGTGGAGCCCCACCTCTGTCACTGGACTGACACTGAGTGAGGATGCTGGTCATATGAAAACCGGAGCAAGTGGGGCGGGCACTACAGAGGACACAGACGTCCACTACAACAAGAGCTAGCAAAGGCACATTTGCAGAATGCCTTTAAGAACTGTTCTTTCATGATGGAAAGAGTTAACTAGTTCCAGTGCCCATAAAATCAGGATGCTGTTAAAATGCATCAACTCTACCCAACTGAGAATCTCAGCAATCAGGTAGGAGGTGGGAAGTGAGGCTGAGGGCATTACTGTGGTGGAGGTCTCCTCACAGGCACATGGCCCCAGGATGGAGGCCCTTCACCAAGAGCTGTGATGACTGCGGCTACTGAGGGGCCTCCTGAGGACGGTCCTAGGGCAGCAGAGCTGGGGCAGGAGTGTGGTTCAGTGAGTGGACGCCTCCTCCGTTGCATCTGACCATCTGAAGAAAGGCTGTGTCAGCCAAGTAATCAATTTTCTGTCTACTTGTATTTCTGATTAATATTAATAATGGCTAACATTTACTCAGTACTTACTCTATGGTAGGCATTACGCTGTCTACGTGGATTGCCTCATGAGGTAGGCATTATCAACAAGTCCTACTTTACAGATGAGAAACGGAGGTGAAGAGAGATTAAGAAACTTAACCAGAGCTGGGCTGGAAGCTGGTCAGCCTAAGTCCAGAGCTTGAATCTCCGCTGCGTTGGCGTTCTGCTGCTTTCACCCCTAGCCTATGCGACTTAATCATGCTGCAAGGTTCACTACCTTTTAAGTGGTGTCCCAAGACTCTAGACTTAAAATTCCCTAAGTACACAAATTGATATGACTGTTGTTAATAATCTAGCAAGTTAAGTCTTACAATATTAGTTTAACAAGAATACACAGCAGGGTTTTCCATCTAATTAATTTTTCAGAATCCTGCTTTTCTAATCCATCTGCATATGCACTTGTTACCTGTTGAGTGTCTACTATGCGCCAGGCATGGGGGTGATAAAGATGCAAAGGCTGGGCCCCCACCACCCTGGCTGGTCTCCCCCTCACCTTCAGCTGTTTGACCTTCTCTTTTCAGCATCTGGACAGCTCCCACATACTTCTTCAGCTGGACTTTGAGCACCTCATTTTCCCTGCAGGTAGAAGAATGTTTAAAAAAATATTTTAAAAATTTGGCAATTAGACTGAAGGCAGGGGTTGGGGGTGGGGGTCTGTGTGAAAAGATGAGTTAGCAAAGCACATTTGCAGAATGCCTTCAAGAACTGTTCTTTCATGATGGAAATGAGCTAACTGGTTCCAGTGCCCATAAAATCAGGATGCTGATGTGCTATGCTCAGGTTATTTGAATCTATCAATCTGTTAGGTAACTATTCTGTGCCAGGCACTCTATAATATACTCTCCATTTACAGAAGAACAAACCCAAGTACTGTATATTCAACCTGGGGGATACTCTTAATATCTTTATTAACTACAAAATGTACTGGATATTCATTATTTGCCAGGCATCATGTGAAGTCTTTAGGTATCTCATTTAATCCTTCCAAGGTATTATCAGAACATCAATTTTAGAGATGAGGCATAAAGAGGAGAAGCAGTTGACCAAGTCTACCCCGACTCCCCATGTAAGACCGTGCTGTGAAGCATGGAACTCAGGCTATAAGACCCCACGCTCTGCTCAATTCCCTCTCCAGGTACACTGGCTAAGAAAAAGAACATGGGAATCAGGGGCAGAAAACTATCATTTGTTGAGTATTTATGACATAGCTCAGACTATACATACATATGTGACCTTGATGAATCAAGCACGCACTCATTCATTTATTCATTCTTCAATTCAGTGGGAAAAGGTTTATTAAGTGCCTATGATGTGTCAGGCACGATGACACTATCATATTCTTCCCATGAGAGTGGAATTGGGATATGGATCAGGTCTCCAACCATGGTCACAAGTAAGACACACTACTGAGATCCAAACCTAGGTCTGTCGGACCCCAAGGCTCAGTAGAGCTTTTCTCTGTCTCCTGTAGGATTTGGACTTGGCTGCTCACCAGCTACCCCAGCCAGAGGTGCTTCCTCCACATTTTTGGTTCTGCTCCTCCCCTCAAAGCCCTTATGCCTGAATGCCTTTGAATGAGCTAGAGCATTTCCTCACAGCAAAACAGCTGTAAGATTGGGTTTCTTTTATGCTTATAAAAATAAATTTAGCCGAAACCGGTTTGGCTCAGTGGATAGAGCGTCAGCCTGCGGACTGAAAGGTCCCAGGTTCGATTCCGATCAAGGGCATGTACCTGGGTTGCGGGCACATCCCCAGTAGGAGATGTGCAGCAGGCAGCTGATCGATGTTTCTCTCTCATCGATGTTTCTAACTATCTCTCTCCCTTCCTCTCTGTGAAAAATCAATAAAATATATTTTAAAAAAATAAAATTAAAATTAAAAAAAATAAATAAATTTAAAAGTAAAAATGCTCACTTGAAAATACTCAATTAGAACACATTTAAGAAGGAATGTGAAAATCAGCTGAAAATCCAACACCTTGAAAATAAATCCAACATTTTTATGACTTTTCTATTATTACCCCTCACTAGACATGCATGCATACACACACACGCTCCTAAATATAATTTTATGTGGATGAAACATCTTTCACACTCCTTTAATCTTTTTCTGTTCGAAGTGTTATTCCCTTGTTTACTATTCCATCACCATTTTCCCATGGTAATCAATCAATGTTAAAAACCTGGTATACATATTAATGTCGCCCTCCACGCTCACAGTCACTAACTACAAACCTGATATACTCAGGTCGAGTTTACTTTATAAAACCGGATTATAAATTTGTCTACAACTGGGTTTGTCTCATTTAAGAACTCACCACTAGAAGCCTCTAACTCGGTCTATTTATGGATGCAAGTGCCATTCCTTGATATGGATAGCCCACAATTTACCAGGAGAAAGCCTGAGACTGCCCATCGCTGGCTCTGCCGTCTGCTTTCAGTGCACTTGACTACATCTCTGCCCGCAAAGACGGTGTTGTGTTTGTATTTTGCTTTTCTGCACTATTTTGGCAGAAAGAACATCCACACCAACTGCGGATATATTACCATATACTCAGGTGTTCCCTGAGAACTCCACACTCATCTCAGAAGCTTCAGAGGGAGAGTACAGAGGAGCCCCTTAATTAGCTTCCTCCCCCTTAATAACCTACCATGGGTGTGTCTACAGGTATCTGGACTTTCTCTGTCTGTGATATGAATAGCAAACATCTGAAGCTAAACAACTAACAAGCCCTGAAAAGGCCTATGGGAGAAAAAAATATTCCCGATGTACGCGGATTTACACTTGTTTCCTTGGGCTCCCTAACCAGAGTCTTGTCACTCATCCCAGGCTAGCCCTAATCTCCACCTGTGAATTCAAGTTACATATGACCTGAAAACTAAGGAAAGGACATTTATATGCATTTCTATGTGGTATAATTCAACATGGTTTGTGGCAGAGCGTCCCCCAAGAGGCAGGCTGGCAGGCTCACTCCGGCCGGCTGACAGGCGCATCACGTCGACATCTGGCTGCTCTGTCTCACTTGCTCACACCACACAGGCCAACCCTCCAACTCTGCAGTCAGCACTGAAATGAAATGGGGCTGCTTGTCTTCTGATCTGGCTCAATCTTTTAATCAGCCTAATACTATCAAAATATCAGACCTAACAGATAAAAGCCAAGATTTTTAATATAAATCTGACTTCCATCAAAATGAGGAGGAGCCATGAAGGATATATCAAACCACTGGGTTGGACACCTTTGGGAGCCATAAACTCATCCCAGCCAAGTTTGTATGAATGAACTTGTGTGCCTTCGTGGGAAATGAACACTTCCAGGTCCCTGGAATTGCTTCTGAATAAAACTCCAACACCTGGAGGACACACTGGCCGCTCCAAAATGCAACTGGCTCCTGATCCCCCATCCCGCGACAGGATGAGGCCCATTTTTTTTAAGTAATTTTAGATTCACATGAAATTGCAAAGACAATACCAAGAGTTTGGTCATATATACCCTTGGCCCAGTCTCCCCAATGGTTACACCCTATGTAACTATGGGGCAATGGCAAAACCAGACTCTGACAACGTGCAGGCATGGTCCTATCAAGCGCATAACAGTCCTCTGCCTCAGCGCGCCTCTAAAATGGACCACTGCGGGTCCGGCCACGAGTAAAGCAAACCAGGTACAAGTACAAGAGTGAAGAGAGGGTGGGCGCCTTTGGCAAACTACAGAGCCCCGTCAAAAGGTATTTTTAGCACATTAAGTGACCCAAGAAAATATTTCTAGGCTCTAGACAACTAATCTGCAACCAGTCTGAATTTGGAAAGAGAAGAACCACATAGAATTCACCATTCTTATCATTACACAGGTCTCTGTTATGATTATCAAATAAAAATGCCTTTTCATTTGACACTTCATGAGACAACAGAATGGATCAATTAATTAAGCACATCCTAACTACGAAAGGCCTCAGAATTGCAATAACGACTAAGGCCCATCTCAGCAGAGGCCTTCGACCCCGCACAAGTCGCGGACCAGGAGCCTGCCAGCCTAAACAGTGAGAGGCAAGGTGAGCAGCAAGACCAAACCTGCCCAGGGCTCTGGTACATCAGCACTCACCTCAGCCCAGGCAGCCTGTCTTCAGAGCCTGGGCGCCTACCGTCTTCACTATACACCATCCTGCACATGTGTGGAGGGAGGGATGTTTGCATGCATGTGCACATGTATGAGAGAGTGAGAGCAACAGAGCCCAGAAGGCTATATACATCTGGTGGGTAATGAAGCTGCTGGGGGGGAGCCGTCCCTTCGCCTCTCCTTCTCTGGTGAGGCACCTCTACACTGGTGGCACGGGACTGAGTGAGCCTGTGAGGACAAGACCTCTGAACAAGGAGGCACAGGTGGTTGGCGCCCTATCAGCTACACCTTAGGGCAACTTTCCTTCCCGTTTCATGGGACTTTCCTCCTCTCTGGTCCTAGTGTGTGCCGGGCTTAGCTGAAGATCACCTACAACACCTGGCTTTTTTTGCAACTAACGGAGTGATTTCCTTAAGACCCATCTGAAAAACCATCCAGAAAAGTTTGGGGTAGGGGTGCTGTTATTGTAAAGAAACCATCAGTGCTGACCTTCCAAAATGGGCTTCCTTTCTGAGGGTTCAACCCATTTCTCCACCACCATCCCGTGAGTCATCACTGGTGCCACGGGGACAGCTGGTTTACTTCCCACCCTCTGTGACCAGTCAGTGGCCATCTGCCAGTGGCTGTGCTCTCCCCGAAGATTTAGTCTTTCAGCTGCAAATCACACATCTGGCTCAAACGACAACTACAAAAGCTAAAGTCACACCTGTTAGAACACCGACAACACGAAATGCTGACGAGGATGTGGAGCCACAGGAACTCTCATTCACTGCTGGTGGGACTGCAACATGGTGCAGCCCCTATGGAAGACAGCCTGGGGGCGGGGGGGTCTTACAAAACTAAATATACTCTTACTATGTGATCCAGCAACCTTGCTGCCTGGTATTTACTCAAGGGAGTTGAAAACTTAAGTCCACACAAAACCTTGCACACAATATTTAGCAATTTTATTCATAATTGCCAAAACTTGGAAGCAACCAAGATGACCTTCAATAGGAGAATGAATAAACAAACTGTGGTGCATCCAGACAATGGAATATTATTCAATGGTGAAAAGCAATGAGCTACATAGCCATGAAAAGACAGGGAGGAGACTAAAATGCATATTGCTAAATGAAAGAAGTCAATTTGAAAAGACTACAAACTTTGAATCCAACTACATGACATTCTGAAAAAGGCAAAACCATGGGGACAGTGAAAAGGTCAGTGGTTGCCAGGGGTTGGGGGGAAGGTTGAACAGGTGGAACATGGGGGATGTTTAGGGCAGTGAAATTAATCTATGTGAGACAATAATGGTGGGCACAAGTCATTATACATCTGTCCAGACCCACAGAATGAATACCACCAAGAGTGAATCCTGATGTACACCATGGACTTTAATAATAATGTATCAGAATTGGTTCATCAATTGTAACAAATGTGCCCTACCAATGCAAGATGTTAATAAGAAAATCTGGGGAAGA